ATATATATATATATATATATATATATATATATATATATATATATATATATATATATATATTTATATATTTTTGTTTATTTATTGTATCTACAGGCTATACTTAAAGGTGTACATACACCGCAAGAAGCAGCGAAAGCAGAAAAAAGAAGAAAGACAGAAGAAATATATAAAATAAATAAAAAAGAAATAAATAAAATAAATAAAAAAGATGAAATAAATAAAATAAATAAAAAAGAAGAAACAAATAAAATAAATAAAAAAGAAAAAATAAATAAAACGGAAACACATTTTCTAGCTACCGCTACAGCAACCAGTCTTTGCGTTATTAAACAAACAAAAACAAACAAAGAAAAACTACAAACAAAAGAAAAAGAAACAGAAAAAGAACAAACAAAAGAAAAAGAAACAAAAGAAAAACAAAAACAACAAACAAAAAAAGAAACAGATGAAACAGAAGAAGAAAAAGAAGAAACAGAAAAAGAAAAAAAAGAAAAAGAAAAAGGAGAAACAGAAAAAGAAACAGAAAAATATGAAAAAGAAAAAGAAAACGAAAAAGAAAAAGAAACAGAAACAGAAGAAAAAGAAGAAAAAGAAACAGAAAAAGAAGAAAACGAAGAAAAAGAAGAAAAAGAAAAAGAAACAGAAAAAGAAGAAAAAGAAGAAGAAAAAGAAAAAGAAGAAAAAGAAAAAAAAAGAAGAAAAACAACAACGCTAACCCAAACAGCACTAACCACATTCTTTTCCTTCACAGCTAAAACAAAAAACAAAAAGTTAAAAAAAACAAAAAAAAATATAAAAACAACAAACGAAATTATTATACTCAGTGATTGATGCATGCTGCTGCAGCAGCAGCAGCAGCAGCAGCAGCAGCAGCAGCAGCAGCAGCAGCAACTGCAGCAGCAGCAGCGGCAGCAACTGCAGCAGCAGCAGCGGCAGCAGCAGCAGCAGCAGCAACAACAGCAGCTGTTGTTATTGTTATTGCTACTGCAGTTGCTGCTGTTGCTGCTGCTGCTGCGGCTGCTGCTGCTGC